CATGTGCTGAGGAAGGACAGAGCAAGCGACTGTGCTGTGGCCCTCGGGTGGGCACCTGAAGGAAGGAGGAAGAGAGGACGCCCAAAAACAACTTGGAGGCGAATGGTGGAAGAGGAGAGAAACCGAGCAGGCTGGAACTCGTGGGACATAGCACGGCAGGCAGCTGCAAACCGGACCCAGTGGAGGAGTGACGTCCAAGCCTTGTGCGCCTTATGGCGCGGAGAGAACTGAACTGAACTGAACATGTCCGGGTTACTTCTGACTCTTCCGCTTGTCTGCCTTGTTGGATACGGAACGTATGGACGGTACGGTAATCGTAAACTGCGGCTATTATACATACGAATTACGAAATGTAAACAGACGGTGTTCAGTGTTGCCATATGACTTGGGAGAAAATTTCTTCTAAAATAAAGTTCTAGATTTCTCATTCACCAAATTTCTGTATCAAGAAAAATCGTATATCATTGAAAGATAATTAAAGGCATACCGTACTGTACTGAGTAATGTGAGTATTACGGCTGTTCCTCCACAAACTGCTCGTGCGGCGTGCGCGGCAGCGCGACGTAGAATTGATGGCCAGGACACATGCGCAAAGAGAATCAATTTTCATTACATTGCGCCAACTGTGCACAGCAATAGCTTGAAAAAAAGTGAAAATGCGCAAGAAAATTCACCAAAAACACACATCATCCTGAGTGTGGCTGGTAAATGAGTTTGTGGCTTGTAAATAGTTTTTCATTACTCAGCCGCAGCGTAAATGGCTTTTCATTAGAAATTATCCGGGGACGCATCTTAAAATTACCCGGCGTCATCGGCGACGCTTAGTGCTTAAAAACCCATATATTGCGACGCTGAATCCACCGACTGCACCCTAGATCATGCTTCTTAGTTCTGAAGAGCTCTAACTTTTGAAGAGATGCCAATACAATTGATCTCAAAGGCCAAAATTAACAGCCTGGCCATAACACATAACTTATAAGTCCACTGTCCACACAACATTTTTTAATTCAGAGGCCTAATCCCTACTCCTTATTATTAATTGGCTAATTTGGCTAATCCCACAGGCACAGCCCACTGCTAGTATGGAATATATCTACTTGGCAAGCCGCGACTGAATTTTTCGAGCCGTGGTTTTATGGATTTGCCAGCCGTGATTCCATTTTATCAAACAAAAATTTATGACATTCGAGCCGCGAGATTTCATACCTACTGAAATTATATGATATTAGAGCCGCGATATTTCAGACAAAAATAGGACTTTTCCAGACTAAATTAGAGCCGCGATATTTCAGACAAAAATAGGACTTTTTCAGACTAGGCCCACTGGCCACTGACGCATGTGGAAGCTTGCTATAGCTTCTGTACAGAGCAAAGATTAAATTTAGTCCATAGTCGCACAGTGTAATTTCAACCTGTATAAAATAATTTATTTCAATTTACAATACAACTTAGTGAACTCACCGGCAATGCTCGTTGTGGTCTCCAGCTTCAACGAAAATGGCGAAACTATCAGGAGTCACTCAGGACAAATACAGAACAGCTTCTGATTTTAAGAAACAATTCCAAACCGCGGATACTGAGTCCAGAAATTGTATCTGATCAAACCAGGTTAGCCAGAAGGCTTAAATAACGGCCAAGTCCCCGGACAAAAAAAAAAAATAGTTCGAAAGTCAATCTATTCTAGTATATGTGCAATTTACTAAAATTTGATAAGGAAGTACCGTTGGGAGCACAGCCGTGCACCACCAATTTGGCCATTTGGGTGACACTTAAAAGCTGAAGACGCCGAAGACGCCGAATTCGCTGAAGTGGCGAACGATTGATCGATGGAACGCCGCGGCTGAACGAATTCCGCGAATTTGCCAAGAAGTAAAGTAACGTTTTTCATTATCATATATTGAAAAACTAAGCACTCAAACTACGCATATCTCCTTTTTGTGTTCTACAAATCAAAAAAATTAAAAAATCTGACAAATAACATATGCTTAAAACGGCACTATACTCATGTTCATACAATTAAACTCATTGCCTTTTCTTGGTTTGAACAGTCGAATCTTACGACTATGAAAGCATCTTATATAAACAAGGCTGAAATCAATCAATCATATTTTAATTTAAACCACCACACAGCACTATCACTATCAGTAAAACTCCGCACTCGACCACAACATTCAACGCTCGCCAGAAATGCTTAGCGCGAAACGACCTCGTACGGTTTAACTACTTCTACGCTTATATCTCAGAAAATATTCAAACCAGAGAGTGCGGAGTGATGAAATAACGTGAATCAATTACTTATTCACTGTAAATAATCACACCGCACTCGACCACAACATTTAGCACTCGCCAATAGTGCTTAGCGCAAAACGACCTCTTACGGTTTAACTACTTCAACGCTTATATCTCAGAAAATAATCAACCCAGAGAGTGCGGAGTGATTATTTACAGTGAATAAGTAATTGATTCACGTTATTTCATCACTCCGCACTCTCTGGGTTGAATATTTTCTGAGATATAAGCGTTGAAGTAGTTAAACCGTAAGAGGACGTTTTGCCCTAAGCACTATTGGCGAGTGCTAAATGTTGTGGTCGAGTGCGGAGTGATTATTTACAGTGAATAAGTGATTAATTCACGTTATTTCATCATTCCGCACTCTCTGGGTTGAATATTTTCTGAGATATAAGCGTTGAAGTAGTTAAACCGTAAGAGAACCTTTTGCCCTAAGCACTATTGGCGAGTGCTAAATGTTGTGGTCGAGTGCGGAGTGATTATTCACAGTGAATAAGTAATTGATTCACCTTATTTCATCACACCGAACTCTTTAGGTTGAAAAATCTCTGAGATATCAGCGTTGAACCTGGGAAACATGAAGTGATCGTCAGGTTTCTCTTGAAATGAAAGGTGATTAATCGTTTAACATGTTTAAACAGAGAACGGGTATATCTGCCTCAAACGCTATGGTTCAAGATTTTCGTTTCTTTTGACACCATTATTATATATATTATTGGTGATATGCTATTGCAGTGTCTGCTTCTAAAATTACGGAATCGCCCGATTCTCCGCCGCATTCGATCGATCCATTATTCGCCACATGTTCCGCACTTCAGCGTCTTCAGCTTCAGCGTCGGAGAAAGTCAGTTGCGTTTGCCGTGGTAGCACGTGTGTGAATTGCGATCTCTAAACGTCTAAAGTGACCGGTAAATTTGTGACTCAAAGTTTCTTATAAGTATTCAAAACCTTAATTATTTGATTTGTTTACTCATTAACTTTAACCCGACTGGCTTTCTCCCTCAGAGGTTTGCCGGTCCGCCTTGTTATTTTTATTTTTTCTTTATTTTTATTTTGTTCATTTATTTATTTATTTATTTATTTTTTCTTTTTTCTTGCTCTTCTACTTTATTTAGTTTTTGTCTTGCTATTTTTTTTGTTTGTTTGTTTTCTAACTTCTATTTTGTCTGTTCCACATGGATGATCTTAGGCTAGTTGCCTTACGGGGTCTGGTTTTGGCCCACCTGTGGTGCTTGGAGCAGCAGGGGCTTGTGTTGGGGTCCTCAGGGAAGCATCTTCTGATGGCTTGGTGGTGGAGGAGTCAGTGTCAGACCATAGTGACAAACCAGAGATTTTTTAGAATCAGTTCATTTTTAACTTCCTCATTTACCTAAGATTTAAACCAATTTCTCATGTATGATAAGGCTGGTATCCAGGATACTTTACTGTTCTACTTATGGGACTCAAAAATGAACTTGAGGGAGAGTCTAAAAAACTCTCTGCTTTGCCACTATGTGTCAGACTGTGAGAGCCTTGTTGAAGCAACTCCTGTAGAGTCAATGGCTGTTAAGCTTGGGCAAAAACGCAGAGAGAGAGAGACAAATGGCTCAAGCGAGAGCATTGGTGGCTAGTATGGAATATATCTACTTGGCGAGCCGCGACTGAATTTTTCGAGCCGTGGTTTTATGGATTTGCCAGCCGTGATTCCATTTCCACGAGCCGTNTCTGACAGATTCAAGGTCAGCTCTGCAGCTTTTATCCAACTCATCTGGGCACTCGTATCGCACAATTATCTTTGAGATACAGAAGTTGATGCTGGTGAAGGGACTTGACAGGGTGGTGCTTTGCTGGGTCAGAGGCCACAGTGGTATTCATGGAAATGAGGTCGCAGACAGAGTAGCAAATTTGGCACACTCAAACAACCGCTCAGCAAGATCTCAGCTGTGTTTCGAGGAGTGGATCTGTTCCTTGAAGTCTCTCACAGTACAAGAATGGACACGCCAATGGGCTGCTGATGTGCAAGAAACAGGCAAGGGGACCTTTTGAAGAAGTTTGGGACATGAAATAGCCTCTGTTGACTATGGAGTGCTGCCACGCTCAGTTGAGAGCGCTGTGTCTTGCCTGCGCCTGGGACATGCTGGTGTCTGTGCTCATTTGGCGAGATTCAACTTGGCCAATTCAAGTAACTGTTCAGTATGCAACGTGGAGGACACAATTGAGCATTTCATTCTACACTGCACACAATTCTCCAACCAACGAAGGGATTTCCGCTCAATAATAGAAGGCCTTTCACTTCAGTGGGATCTTTCCTCAGCTCTCGGCGGTGGAGACGCCCCAATGAGGAGACGCACTGCTGCCCTCCGTCATCTGGGTCAATATTTGCACAGATGCAATATGGTGACCAGGCTATGAAGTTCCTCAAAGTCTAATTACTACGGTATTTTTCTTTTTCTCCTCACTATTTACTGCCACACTGGTTGGTGGAAGTGCTGAAAGAGAAATACAAAGTGAAAACAACAAGTGAAGTGGAGTGATCAAAATCTGAGTTGTGCTCAGGCTGGGAGGTGTGCTACCTGCATACCCGAAGTCTTCAAATAAAATTAAAAAAAAAAAGCTTCAGCGTCTTCAGCTTTTAAGTGTGACCCCCACCAATTTTGTGCACCAATAAGCCCTGAATCGGATCGAACGCCATGGGTCTTTCCTAATTGGGGCGTGGGGGTTCTGTTCTAACCGTTGAGGACTTGAGGCAAGAGGTTCTTTGTGCTGAGCTCCCGTGGGCGTGACGGTAGCCGGCTTCGGCCGGCTGCTCCGTCATCTTTCTGGAACCATCTTTCTCGAACTTTAAAATGCCTTGCTGTCCCGCTCCGAGGCGTTGAGCCGGCGGATGCCATGGTACGACCAGCTAAAGTGAAGTTTAACTCCTGAACACCTATAAATGCTCCCGACATCTACTGCCAAATTTCGTTACAAAGATTTTAAGATGCCTCCATGTGTGGTTAGTACCCCTGGGTTCGTGGTTAGTGCCCCCAGGTGAGTGGTTGGTGCCCCCAGGTGAGTGGTTAGTGCCCCCAGGTGAGTTGTGTGGGACTCTCTGCCCTGGAGTGGGGCTCTCTGCCCTGGAGTGGGGCTCTCTGCCCTGGAGTGGGGCCCTCTGCCCTGGTGTGGGACTCTCCACACCGGTGTGGTCTCCACTTTGGCGGCCCCATTCTGTAGTCATTCAGCCTTCGAGAAACATTGGACAACTCTTCAGAACACCTAAATTCCTATCTGAAAATAATGTTCCTTAAATTTTTTATAAACTGTCCTGTCATGGGGCCACAGGCACATTGAACTAGTCTTCAGAGGCTCCCATAAACTTTGATTAAAGAAGAAGATTTGGGGCATGGTGAGGGTGACTCTGAGAAAAAGAATTTCAGGGTCAGGCCTTTGCAACGGCCATCAGCCATGCATCACATTTTCATTTGTTAGTAAGAAGAAGAAAGGGAGACCAAGCCAGGTGGAAGCGACATTAAAGAGAAGAGGCTAGAAGAGGTGTGAAAGTTTGTGTTAAGGGTGAGAAGTAATCAAGGGGAAGAGAAGTTCAAGGGGAAATTAGTGATGGATGGATTTTTTGTTAGCCACGTGTTTTGCTTCCGACTGGTTCTTCACCAATTCTGTGTAACTATTTACTACGGAGTCCCAACTCCCGAGTGATGGTCTGTTCTTTGCTGTGAGTCTGTGACCCTATGGCCTATGAGAGGTGCACGACGCAAAAATCACTTCAAATCAAGATATACCTCACCTTCTTCATACGTAATATACGAAGCAATGCTCTGTCCTCTGTGGTCTGTGCTCTTCCGTTTGACTAATGTGCTCTTGCTCTTGCGTTGTGCTCTTCCGTAATGACTAATGAAGACAGTCATAGTGGTAAAACAGCGAGTTTTTTAGACTCTCCCTCAAGTTCATTTTTGAGTCCTATAAGTAGACCAGTAAAGTATCTGGATACCAGAACCATCATTCATAACAAATTGGTTTAAATCTTAGGTAAATGAAGAAATTAAAAATGAACTGATTCTAGAAAATCTTTGGTTTGTCACTATGTATAATAAAGGAGTAAACGATTGAGATCTTGCGTGCATTTTGAAAGTTGATTCGATCACTCGGGATGCATGTTAGAGGTTGACTCCTGCGTTTAGAAATTTCTTCCAATCAAGACGAGACAAGAAGCATTGTCCCGTGTTGCAATAAAGACCGGGACAATTTTCAGCAGTCAGCACTACCGGGTAGTGCTGACTGCTGAAAATGACTACCGTAAAATGGGGTTACTTAGACCGGCGGGGTAACTTAGACCACTTTTTTTTTTAAAAATGATGCCATTTTTTTACTAGCTAAATTAAACTTAAATTGAAACATGCAAGATACAGGTCTATACTCTAGCTTCACTCACCATAAATTGCTGGCTCCTGCCTCTCATAGTTTTGATGTAATTTCAAAAAAAGTGATGGTCTTTGTTACCCCAGCTCTTGGGATTTCTTTAACCGGGTGGTAAAATCAATTTTATTTTTCAGTAAAATAACTCCAAATAACTCCAGGTTGTGGTGCATTGTAGTAGAACTCTTCTAGTTACATATGCAAAAGACAAATTTTAGGAAAGTGTCATAGTTTGCAAATGGGAGGCGCTGCCCCCCAATGGGCAAATGTGACCACTTAATGGCAGCCGTGACGGGGTAACATTGACCGGTTTGGAAATTAAGTTAAAATTACCATATATACGACTGTAGAGTCTGAAAGATAAAGAAAAAAACATTAATAGGTGTATCAAACATAAAATATGTTATATAGGTACATATGGTAATTTTAACTTAATTTCCAAGCCGGTCAATGTTACCCCGTCACTGCTGCCCCGTCACCTGTATATTGCATGTTTCAATTTAAGTTTAACTTATCTAGTAAAAAAATGGCATCATTTTGAAAAAAAAGTGGTCAAAGTTACCCCATTTTACGGTATCTCATTCCAAAAAAAATGGCGGCCATTTCTGCAAGACGGAGTAATAAGGGATTCCCCCCCGGGGTAATAAGGGACACCCCTAAAATTGCATTTACAGAAGAACCTTGGTTAGCAAAGGCTCCAGTTAATGAAAAAATCAATTAATAACAAAGAATTTTGATTACATTTACCTCGCTCAGTGAAAAAAATTTCACTTAATAAAAAATTACTGCATCGGTCATCACAAAATTGTGCACAGAATGTCGCAGATAGAATTGAGCACTGGGCAACAAATAATGAAAAGTAATTAACCTAAACTGTGATTTATTTCTCCAAAAAATATGATGGTTGTCAGTAAAATATTCCTTTCTGTTTCAGGTATGTTTTTTCCAATCTTTTTTGTTATAGTGAAATCACTTGACTTGATAAAAATTGTGCAAAATTACAAACCATCCTGTGAGCTTACAGATACAGAAGAAATGCTACATGGCTGCTGATATGAAGCCTGCAGTGGACAAGGCCGTTGTCAATGCTCAATTGCATGTCCATGGATACAGTAATATCACATTAATAATACACTAATGTATGGATAAGGTAATATCAACCAAGTACCAAAACCAAGTAAAAATCACAGAAAATTTCATTTATTCTACATTTACATCATCTACAAAGGAAGAGGAGGACTTCAGAGTACTGTTAGTAAAAGATGAGTACACTCTGCATGCTTCAAATGTTTAAAATTGAGTTTTATGTCAAGTGTCCCTTTTTACCCCATTTCCAGATTAATACAGGGTGCGGCGCGGGAACTTACTTATTTGAATTGCGCGCCACGTGGCGGCCATTAGTCCTAGGAAGGTGGCGCCATGCGCAATATGGTGCGCGGGCTATGAAGTTTTTCTTCCACTCAGTTCAGTTGCGACCATGCAGTGGTCGAGAGAGGAGCGCGCGTTCGCAGTCTCTGTTCTTTGTAAAAAAGAAAGAATTAAAATGCTATCTTTAATACTTTTTACTTTGTGATTTTTTTAAAAGAGTAAGTTCCCACGCCGCACCCTGTACAGGAGCCTTTATATTGCGTCTAGCACCTTACAAATAGCATATGGAATTTTTTTGGAGATGCCATACGATAGCCCTTGCAAAGACCTTTAAAATGAGCCTAAACTTGTTTATGAAATGTTTTGTGGTAAGAAGTTACCGTAAAATGGGGTTACTTTGACTCCCGGGGTGGGGTAACTTTGACCACTTTTTTTTAACAAAAATCCTCAAAACTCAAAAACTATTTGACATAGAAAAATTTTGTCAATGGCCAGTAAGTGCCTCATACTAAGGCTATGTACCTAATGCAATAGAAAGATTTTAAAAGTTTGCATATCTAATAGGTTAAACAAATTAAAAATGTGACCCATGAAAAAGAGCTATTATTTAACACGTTGGCCGCGATGTGCGCCATATATGTACACGCTGTACTTCTCAGAATCGCGATGTGTACACATGTGGTACATTGAAAACCTGGACACCAATCTCTTTCCATAGTAATTTCCATGCGTAATATACATCGTTCACAAAAAGCTAAGAGATACCGGTAGTCATAATGTGTGCAATTATGACTCAAAACTAATGTAGATTTCTTGCGCGCATCACTCACAGTAAATTAAGTGATAACTTTAGGCATTTTTTCGGCAATATGAGCTATAGATGCATGTCTTTGCTTGGTACACATTGCCCACAGTATTAGAAGAGATTACGATAGGCGGCGTGAGCCAATATGAGCCACAACAGCCGTGGCTTCATTTGGTACACATCGCCAGGAATAATGACAAATTTCAACCCTGAGCGATGTGCACCAAATGCGGCCACAAATTTTATGTGATACAATGACAGAACATACCCCTGCAGAGCTGCACACAACTTTTCTCCTTGCTATCTGCTGGGTAACTGAAGATATACAAGTTTGAACCTATCGCCCGTACGGCATTCGGGCCAAATCAGCAATCGCGGCCAACGTGTTAAACCCTGTCAGAGTACCCCCTCCAATTTTTTTATTTTTTGGTAAAATAACTCCAGGTTTTGATGCATTGTAGTAGAACTCTTCTAGTTACATATGCAAATGACAAATTTTAGGAAAGTGTCATAGTTTGCAAATGGGGGGTGCCACCCTTTGACCACCTAATGGCAGCCGTGACGGGGTATCATTGACCGGCTTGGAAATTAAGTTAAAATTACCATAGGTACCTATATAACATTTTATGTTTGATACACCTATTATTGTTTTTTCTTTATGTTTCTGACTCTATAGAGTCTTATTTTCTTTGTTTTAGACTCTATAGAGTCTTATATATGGCTATTTTAACTTAATTTCCAGCCGGTCAATGTTACCCCATCATGGCTGCCATTAGGTGGCCACATTTCGCCCATTGGGGGGCGGCGCCCCCCATTTGCAAACTATGACACTTTCCTCAAGTTTTTCATTTCACTCATTTGCATATGTAACTTGAAGAGTTCTACTACAATGCACCAAAACCTGGAGTTATTTGGAGTTGTTTTACCAAAAAATAAAATTGATTTTACCATCCAGTCAAAGAAACCCACAGAGCTGGGGTAAAAAAGACAATTGATTTTTTTAATTACATCAAAACTATGAGAGGCAGGAGCCAGCAATTTATGGTGAGTGAAGCTAGAGTATAGACCTGTATTTTGCATGTTTCAATTTAAGCTTAACTTATCTAGTAAAAATATGGCATCATTTTGAAAAAAAAAGTGGTCAAAGTTACCCCATTTTACGGTATTAACAAAAAATGCTCAAAACCGTCCCTTTTTACCCCTTTTGACAGTACCAACAAGTCCAACATCTTCTAATGACTCCCTTAAAATTAGTATCTTTGGTTATTAATTGAACTTTTAATAAATGAATAGCTGCATTTAAAAATCATTCCACCCCCCTTGAATTATCTTATATGTTTCTAAAGTTCTATTTGACATGTGCCTGAAACATTAAGTGATAAATACAGTGTAAGAGAGTGAATTTGAAAGGATTATCATCAGTAAGTAAAATTTTGCTACCATGCCACATATGGAAAGAAATCCACAAACCTATAACTTTTCAAACAGCTTTTGTTCATCATCCATCATCAAAGCCAGAATTGCCATGTATTTTTAAGGTAGTTACTACTAGTCACTTTCTCTAAAAGTTGTTGCTACCAAAACTTGTAGTTTAATTTATTTAGTCAGTTGAACAATTTGTTGCTACTCTTTTTTTATTTAATTTAAAATTTCTTTCAGATACTCTTCTTGCTTTGTTATTGCTGGACATATTATTACTTCCAGTGTGTCTCAGGAAACCTCTATATACCCCCACATTAATATGATGGCATACAGTATAAAAGAGTGCAGAGTTGCTCTGCACCAGCTCTCAGATGCTGCAGTCAGGAGTGGCTGGTGCCCTGAGCAGAGCCTCATTCAAGCAGCAACTGACGTGTGCAAACTCGAGCCTGAAGGTATGCTTCACAACTGGTGCTTGCAAGTCTGCTTTATTTGTCAATTTGGATATTGTTATCCTTATATGCATATATGATTATGTAGGTAATAGTTTACACAATTGTTCATCTAAATCCATTGGAGATAGTTTTTCTCAACTTTGTTGTTTATATTCTTTCCTGCAAGTATTATCATGCTACTAATAATTCCTATAAATATCATCCAGCAATGGAGGGCAGCAGTTCATCCATCATAACAGTTTACATCAAAGAGGAGCCTGAAGATGAGGGAGAGGACATAACTGTGAAGGATGAACAACTTTGCAGTGAAGAATATGAGGTAATATTTTTAACATGATTGAGGTCAAATAAATTGTTAAGGAATTCAAATGTTGATGTTAATCAATCTTGTGGCTGCAGTGGTTTTGCTGCTAACAACTTGCATCTCAACTGTCATCAGCTCTTATGTATATTACAGTTGTAAAATACTCATCACTTAGTATCCTCAATTTTTATGTTCTCCTATCCAAAATTAATTCCAAGATGTAATATCTGCCTCTTGAATGCAAGGTTGTCTCAAATATTCTATTGAAGGTTTTAAATAAACATAACTTCTTCAGCAATATGCCCCCACGCAGCAATGCATGTAGCAATGGTGTTCATTTATTGTGTCTCTTGTTCTTTCTGGGTACCTGTTCTTCTGAGATGTGAAATAATATTGTCACATTTTGATCTAAAATGTACATGAATGCACATGAGTATAGAATTGTTGTCTAGTATATGACTTGCAACATTGTTTGTCAATTTACATTGATAGAAATTTTATAGTCTCATATCATTCCCATTTCAATCTCCAAGATTATTTTACTTTCATCAAAATTATTCTAGTACAATTTGTAATAATTCAAGCTTTTTTATGAATTTTGTCCCAAGAAAAGTTTGTAGAAGGCATTGATAATTGTAATAAACTAAAATATATGTAAATGCTACATTAATTTTTTTTCACCGCATGAAATGAAAGAATCACATGAATCTGCTTTCCATCTTCAGGATGCCATGCCGTGCGGTGCCCTGGCCACCATTGGTCAGGATGTGATGCCAGTTTTTCCTGAAAACAAGGAAGAAAAGATGTCTGCCACTCAGGAAAATATTTCTCCAGTGCCCAATGGAGCAGCTTTTGTCCAGGAAGTTCTTTCTGATCAGCCTGTGTCTGAGTTCAAGTCATCCAACTTGGCCAACAATGACCATGCAAGACTAGCAAAGAAATTGCCAAAGGTTCCATCATCCACTGATTCATTACATACAGATGTTCCTTTTAATTCCAACCAAATCACCAAACGAGATTTCCGAACTGTATTAAACTGCAAGTTATGCAACTATGTTACAAATAGAAAAAATAATCTCAATAAGCATTTGTTTTGTAAGCATGGTTTGGGGGGAGGATTCCAATGCGAGTTGTGCGACTATGTCGCTGTCAGTAAATATTGTCTTAAAGTTCATCAATTTACTAAACATGGTTTGGGGAAAGGATTGAAATGCAAGTTGTGTGATTACGTAGCTGGCAGAAAACGTTATCTTGAAACGCATATGTTCTCTAAACATAGTATAGGAAACAGTGTAAAATGTGACCTATGTGACTATGTTGCAGCTAAAAAAGATACCCTTCAACGTCACCTGTTTTCGCAACATGGTTTGGGGAAGGGAATGAAATGTAAATTGTGTGATTATGCCACTTGTCAAAGAGCTCTCCTTAATAAGCACCATTTTACTAAACATGGTTTGGGTGTGGGAATCAATTGTAAGTTGTGTGATTATGTTACTATTAGAAAACATCTTCTCAGTATGCATCTTTTTTCAAAGCATGGTATTGGGGAAGGCTTGAAATGCAAGTTGTGTGATTATTCTACTCTTCAGAAGTGTTCTTTGAAACAGCACTTGATTTCTAAACATGGTGTTGGAAAAGGATTCCAATGCAAGTTGTGTGATTATAGCAACTGTAGAAAACGTGCTCTTGATATACACATGATTTCTAAACATGGTTTAGGGAACGGATACCAGTGCAAGTTGTGTGATTATAGCAACTGTAGAAAATTTGATCTTGATGTACACTTGTTTTCTAAACATGGTTTAGGGAAAGGATTAAAATGTAACTTGTGTGATTATAGCAACTGTAGAAAATATTCTCTTGATATGCATATGTTTTCTAAACATGGTTTAGGGAAAGGCTTCCCATGTGAGTTCTGTGATTATGTCACTGGTAATAAATGGTCTCTCAAAAAGCACCTGGAATCTAAACATGTTTTGGCTTAGAAAAGATCTCTTAGTAAAAGTTGTGCTACTACATCTGCTAACAATACGGTCTAACCTTGGTTGAAGGGGTTTGAGGAAATTAAATTTATGTGTATTGGTTGCAGTTGGTAAATATCAGAAAGAATATGTACAGATTAATAATAATTATTTAGTGAAATGATTCCATACTGAGTTTAGTCAAATTTGAATAAGACTCCCTAACCATACACCTTCCATGTCACGATATGAAGGTCTTGTTGCTTAGTAATCTGGTCTGTATTCTCATATGGGGCTATATTTTTCACTTAACACCACCGTATTTAGACTGGATAAATGTTGTGAGCTTTGCAAATAAACTTTATTTCTAGTACAGTTAGTGATTTTGTATTTTGTTTGAATGCATTAATGTGGGTTTGTCCAGAAGGCCTGTCCAGTAATAAACGTGTTGGTTGAGACTATATAATTGCTTCAATTTAATAGAATTAAAAATAACATTCACCAGCTTGTGTGTAGATGAGGTTTGTGAAAATGCTTTCTAAATGCGAATTTTGTGCATTATGTGTGAATTATAATATATATGCCCAAAATTCCTGGATTCAGAAATCATCTACTTCTGGAGTTGCATTTCTACCTTTTTCTGTATGATTTTTCCTCATTTAATTTTAATGCTAGGTACTTCAAGACTTGAGCTTGTTTGTGTCATCTCCATTGACAACAGATATGGCGTCAGCCTCAGTTTGTTAGAGTTAAGAAATTCATTAAAACCTTTTGAAAAAAAGGATAGGTACTTGAATTTTCATTTCTTTTTTATTTCCTTGGAAGGAGAAGTTTTCCCAAGATGTTTAACCCTAATACAGTAATTAAAATTTTCCCAAGTTCTTCTACGATTTCGTTTTAATGTTGTGTACGCACATTGTCTAATTTTCAGCCTCTAGCTGGAAATGGGCACTGCTTTGAAGGCATCGCTTGATGAGCGCAGGCGCACTCCCACATGCTGCTGATTTTTACCAAGGTTTTTGTCCCTCGTATGATGGAAATCCTGCACCCGAGTATGAACGGACTACCCTTCGCGCGACCGAATGGTATTGACTTTCAAAATCTCAATTCCTCGTCCAAAAATCAAACTCGTGCAAAGTCCTCGGTGCCAAATATAAAGATCATGGGAGAAGCTACAATAGCGACATAGGCAAACAATAAACCTCCAAGCATTTCTTCTGAATCATCCTAATTATCGTCGGAGAAGCCTGAGACTGGTTATTTCTGTCAGCAATATGTCACGTTCACCTACACGTGTGAAAATAACGTTAATCGATCGTTGATTTAGGAGCTGAAGAACTTAACTATAAAATCGGACTCACTTCCGAAACATTCTGTTTAAAATATTAAACGCGAGTATTTTTTACAGCTTAGTTGAATACCCTAAATCGGAGGATTTTTCCCTCCCGGAAGTTGGAAACCAAGCCACGCCAACTCTGAGCGGGCGTCCATATAGCCCTAGAGACAAAGTGATAGCTTCTTGCTTTCTGCGTCGTTGCTTAACTTAGTTTAATTATAATATCGTGTTGAAAAGTTTCGTAGATGATGCACTCTATGATTGTACGGAAATTGTTAGGCCAAAGTTTGCTTGTAAATCTGGGTGTATATTGGACAGTTAAATGTTTGTAAGTGAACGCGGGACGCTATGTGCATAAAAGATGAATCTAAAATACGTGTGGGCTCGGTACAATCTAATTTTGGAAAATTTAGCTAGCCCAAGTGCCTGATTCGGACCGATATTGCTCTATTTGCTATTGATCACTTAATTTACATTTATCTCATGTTTGACATGCTCAATAATAGGAAACACATTGTGTCGCGGAATGTTCCCTAGATTATTATGGTTTTCACTGATCATGTACCATCCGCCTGACCTGGGTGCGAAGTCAATAAGGGTTCCAAAAGATGATACTTTGATTTAAATTTATTTCCCTCTTCCCAGGTAAAATCCTGCACAAGTATTAGCATATTACGGACAATGTCTAGTGTAGGTGTGGATATATAGGCGATGACATACACAACTACCAGCGATTCAAACTAATTTAAGCGTATATCTCAGAGCACAAGAAATCAGCTACATAAGATGGGCAACTAAGCTAGTAATCTCAGTTACTAACCAACCTCTTTCTGACTAGAGCAAAAAACTGGCCTCATGTTAGGTAGTGTTCACACTATCACAACTTGCATGAAATTCATCCCCATAGAAACCTTGGTTACGCACGTTTGTTTGACGGCTTAGTAAAGGCACTAAACAAACTAGAATAATACACCGACGTATATACGATACCTGCGTAAAATTAACAATGGATTATCATACATTCTAGGAGCAAGAAAAAAGTCATTCATTTTGAGTAAATCTGATCTACTGAAATCCCGACCTCAGCACAGAAGCACATCCACAGTTTGAATTCCCTTAATTAGAATTCATCATTTTCAACTGGTCGCTCAATCATTCCAACAATTGACATATGAAATAACAAGCTACGGGACAGTATTTGATCCATGAGCACACAACGACCTGATTGGGCAAACTAAAGCTTCGCCAAATGGAATACGTCAGCAAGGCATGTCAAACATGGCGGCAGGGTGGCCCAGTGGTTACAGTTCAGAGTACCAAGATTGGCGCAGAGAGGTGCGGGTTCGATCCCAGCTCTGTGCGCCAGTTTCTGGTCAGAATCGGCGAGGAGGCCGGGCGGTTAAGCACAGCAGAATTGTAGCAGCGAGTTGCGAGTTCGAGACCGCAACAAGCTGTGGATGTTCTGCAATGTTAAGAATCGGCGACAGGCCTCAGGCCTAATAAACGCTGCAACCGCTATTATAATTATTATGAACATGAGATAAATGAAATAGATGGGCAGCATACTAAGAGAAACATGTCAGGCACGTCAAACACGAGATAAATGTAGATTTGATAGTAAGTAATCCATAGCAAAATATTGCAATATCGGTCTGAATCAGGCACTCAGACTAACTCAATTTTCCACAATTAGATTGTACCGAGCCCACGCGTATTTTAGACGCGCACTCTATGCACATGGCGTCCCGCGTTCACTCATAAACATAAAACTTTCCAATATACACCAAGATTTACTAGCAAACTTTGGCGTAATAATTTCCGTACAATCATACAGTGCGTCATTTACAAAACTTTTAAAACACGATATTATGATTGAACTAGCTAAGTTACGCAATGATGCTGAATGCCAGATGCTATCACGCTCGTCTCTAAAGCTACTGAGTATAAGGACGCGTTCCCGCTCAGAGTTGGCATGCATGGTTTGCTTCTAACTTCGGGGAGGGAGAAAATTGATCCAATTTAGGGTATTAAATTTCGCTGTAAAAAATTGGCGTTTAATATTTTAAACAAAACAATTTGGCTGCCAGTCCGAATTAATAGCTACGCTCATGAGCGTGGCTTGGTCAACTATTGATTAATATAATTTTTACATGTTCAGGCGAACGTGACAAATGTCACTTGTGACTTTCGTTACACTGTGATTTCACGATCATTTATCAACACTCTAAAAATACTCTAATTATCATGATGATACCAGCACCAGCTTGCCGTACTATAATTAGCTTGACGTGCTTATTTAAAATTGCTACCGTTCAGTTTATTTATTTAAATAAATCTTACTTTAATGTCATTATTTAGTTTCAAATGACATCAAGAGAATTATATTTGAATAATTTTACCTAAAGGTTTTAGTGTACGCATCGATATTTTGTGAAATTATTATCTTTTACTCGATAAAATTTTTTTAGCTTTGTAATTTTATTTTCATGTAATTTTCATTATTATCAACTTCATTATTAAATGTTTGTCCCAACAGACATCGTTATGCACAAACAAGACGAGAGTCCATGTTTTTCTTCACAAAATTCCATACTGTTCTGAAATTCAATAACAACTGATGACATTATATTCAACAGATTATGCAGTGTATATTAAATGTAATTTATCATTGTCACATGTAAATGGTGAGATAAGTTCTCGAAAACGTGAATATAGTATGAGAACATGACAATATGAATTACATGCAATATTAATATGAGAATATAACGATGTGAATTGCATGCAATATTAAGGAGAACATGACAATTTTGAATTGCATTCCATATTAATATGAGAAAATGACAACAAGAATTGCATGCAATATTAATATAAGAACATGTCAATATAATCGCCGCACTACAAAGCCCCGAGGAGGCGACAAGAGCCTCCACCAGCCGAGCCATTAATCCTTATCTCTCCTATTAATTTATTCACCAATAAACTCTGTAATTCACCGCACGGTATTTTTATCTATAGCTTCTTCACACATCTCAACTGCGTGTATGCCTGATCAAAATTACGGCCGCCGTATCGCCGGCCACCCAAAGAACATCCTGGAGCTGTGACGCACTTGACCTTAGAACGTGCGTCACGATGCAGACTATCACAGTGAAAAATTAATGGCTGATATTGTCCAAATAGTGACACACTTGCTCACCTACTGCACGAGCAGGGATGTAGCACTGATACGAGCTTTGCCGGCGCAAAACTGGGTCAGGATGACCCACACAAGAGCAAAAAGTACATCAATACTTGGATAAATTCTCACTCATTTCTCTGAGTAACATGAAGGACCGAGATGCAGGCAGTTTCGTGCAGATGCAGGCAGTTTCGTGCAGATGCAGGCAGTTTCGTGCAGATGCAGGCAGTTTCGTGCAGATGCAGGCTGTTTCGTGCAGATGCAGGCTGTTTCGTGCAGATGCAGGCAGTTTCGTACAGATGCAGGCAGTTTCGTGCAGATGCAGAACGTTTCGTACAGATGCAGGTCGTTTCGTGCAGATGCAGGCAATTTCGTGCAGATGCAGGCAGTTTCGTGCAGATGCAGGTCGTTGCGAGTTTTTGTTTAATAAAATATCGCTTTCAGGTTAGGGAAGAGAGTCAATAAATTACATTTTTAAATTTTGTCTTCAATAAAAATTTTCAACTTGTATTGATAATAAAGAAATATCAACCACAGGGATATCCCCCGCATCATCAAATGAATCCGACCACTATTTAACTGCATAATTTTTTTATTAATATAATTAATGTCATTCTTAGGCGGACTATTCCTTCCAACCATGCAGAGGAGGGGGGGGACGCGACTGCACGTGGTGGGGGGGGGAACTGTGTGTGGGGGAGTGGAGGGGGAACTTAACAAGTGCAGCTTGACGCGCGCTACTGCGGGATCAGACAGTGAAGAGGTGCGCGGTGAAGAGGTCGTGTGGAGTGGAAAGGGCAGGTCGCGGAAATTGGAGAGGCCGTATGGAGTGTAGAGAATAGTGAATAAGTCGTGGGGAGTGAAGAGGATAGTGAATAAGTCGTGGGGAGTGAAGATGGCTGTAATTAAGGAGTGAAGGGCACAGAAATGGATACTGAAAAACTTGCAGTAACTTTCAGAGAATTATTCAGTAATGATAGTGAGGTATTCAGTAAGTATAGTGAGGTATCCAGTGAAGATAGTGAGGTATTCAGTAATGATAGTGAGGTATTCAGTAATAATAGTGAGGTATTCAGTAATAATAGTGAGGTATTCAGTAATGATAGTGAGATATTTAGTAATGATAGTGAGGTATTCAGTAAGTATAGTGAGGTATCCAGTAAAGATAGTGAGGTATTCAGTAATGATAGTGAGGTATTCAGTAAAGATAGTGAGGTATTCAGTAATGATAGTGAGGTATTCAGTAATAATAGTGAGGTATTCAGTAATGATAGTGAGGTATTCAGAGGGTATCCCCCTTTGTTATAGGGCCGTACGACTGTTTACATTGTTTCAGTCTCCCCTGCAATTGTCGCGGCCTTGTCACATCTGAAGTTTGCTTGCTGTGTGTTCAGTGTTTCGGAAACTCAATTGTGCATCGAATCAATTATTTATTGATAATAATTGATAGTGTTTCTGAGTTCTCATCATTCCCGGTACAAAGATTAATTAATCAATACATTATATTGCACTGTTACATACACAGTATATCTGTTCTTAAACTCTCTGTACCAAGTTATAGGTTGAAAATATCCTATTAAAATATAGCAAAATTTACACTCACTAAACAAGTCCATTACTTGTGAAAGGAGAGAAATAATGGAAGGAAGCATCGCCATTAGTGTCTTCTTGGCAGTCATGCTGGTAGGTCTATAATACTTTTGATGAGGACTGATCTTAATGAGGACATTCTTTTAACGAGGACTGCTCTTAATGTGGACTGCTCTTAATGAGGACTGATGTTGATGAGCACTGCTCTTAATGAGGACTGATCTTAATGAGGACTGCTCTTAATGTGGACTGCTTTTAATTAGGACTGCTTTTAATTAGGGCTGCTCTTAATGAGACATGTTCATAATGAGGCCATAACTGATGCAGTTATTTTATGTCACTGAATGCTGGATGAAATTATATTCCCGTAAATAATTTTTGTATATAGGTTAAATCTGGCAATCGCTGTCGAACTCCATTATTCAATTTGCTAAAATTTTGAATTCCAGTTAACGACTGCAATGCTTCCTAGCATTTCTTGCAACAAAAACAATACAAATTAAAATACGCGAAATAACGAGTGCTTTCATCCTTATTCCAGGCAATAACTTGAGCAATTCTCTGTATATACGGCATAAGCCTCCTGATTGCTCCGTATTTCAGGCGATGGCCGCCGCATTTCCCCCACACGAGGCAGGGGGCGCCACCGGGGGGACAGACCGCCCCTGGGGAGCCAGGGGGGACGACACAGACCTCCTGAGGGGCGTCGACCTGAGCCTCGAGGACGACATCCTTGACCTGCTCCTGGAGTGGGCTGGTCAGCCCGTGGGAGCACGCAAGACCGATGTGTCGTTTGGTGTGGATGATGTGTCACTTGAGACACTTTATGAGCCTCATGAGTCTCCTGATGTGTCTCATGAAACACCTAATGTATCTCATGAAACACCCGATGTATCTGATGAAACGCCCGATACTTCTGATGAAACGCCTGATGCTTCTAATGAAACGCCTGATGTGTCTCATAAAACGCCTGATGGGTCTCATAAAACGCCTGATACGTATAATGAAATGCCTGATTTGTCTCATGAAGCGCCTGATAAAACGTCTGATGTGTCTCATGAAATGCTTGATGTGTCTGATGAAACACATGATGAGTCTCATAAAACGCCCGATGTGTCTGGTGAAACGTCCGATATGTCTCATAAAACGCCCGAGTTATCTGATGAAACGTCCGATATGTCTCCTAAAACGCCTGATGCGTCTGATGAAACGCCTGATGGAGCTCATGAAATGCATTGTGTGTGTTTTAAGACACCTAATGTGTCTATTAAAATGAATAATTTGTCTCGTCAAACAAATGTGACGCATGGTGTGTCTCTTGACAAACCTGATGTACCGGTTGAAGCGCCATTTGCGTCTTTTGACACAGCTGATATGTCGAATGAAACACATATAATGCCGGTTGAAACTACTTATGTTCCAGGTAAAAAGCTTGATATATCTCATGTAAACCTTAATATGCCGGTTGAAACGCACGTTGTGTTGGTTGTAAAGCCAAGTGTGTCAGCTGAAACACCAGGTATGACGATTCAAACACCAAATGTGACGGTTGATTCAACAGAGATTCTTGATGAAGGTACAGTTCCGTTGAATAAAAATATTGATTTGCCAAAAGAATCGCGTCCTGCATCGGCTGGAACGCTAGAAAAGACAACTTCATCAAATGAAGCAAATGATAAAGTAGCAGAAACGCTAGTTAAAACCGCAAATTCGTTGTTGAAAACACTAGAAGCCCCTATTGAAACTTCAACTGTTCCTGTAAAATCTCTAAACGTGCCAGTTGAGAATCAAAATATACCAGCTGAAACGCCAGCTGAATCGGTCAAAACTCTTGAAGCGCAGGTTGAAACTCAAAACGCGTTGGCTAAGATCGAAAATGTATCTGTTGAAACGCCTAATGCATTGAACAACACAAAATATGCACATGTTGAAATGTTAGATGCACCGGCTAAATCAGCAGATGCACATTTAGAAACTTCTCATGTCTTGGTAGGAAGGCCCGATGCTACTCTAGATACACCGGTTGAAATGCAAGATGACAAATCAGATTCGATGCTCAAAAAGTTAAATGTTGCTTATGATACTCCGAAAATACCGGTTGATTTGCAAGACGAAAAAACCGATACGATTGCGATGCCACAAACAACTTCTGAAATAATAGAAAGGCTTGTTGGATCTCTGGAAGCTGCAAAAAAACAAACAGATTCACAAAAATCACAAAATTTTCCTGTTGAGACGGCTGATTCTACGGCAACACAAGAAAATCTTGAAAGAAAACCTCATCCATCGATTAAATCTCTAGAAATCCCGTTTGAAAGGCCGGATGTTGGGGAAGAAGTGACGGTTGTAACGGTTGATGCCGTTAGTACACCTGCAGTCATTCAAGATGCCTCAGTTTCTGTGCCAGAAACCATAGTTGAATTGGAAGATATTCCTGTTGCAACGATGGTTGAAGCAACTAAACCCAGAGCGGCTGATGTTGAAAATGAAAAAGAATCGTCCAAAAAGCTAAATGAATCGCCTGAAACGCAAGCCCAGGGCGCTCTGGGAAAATCTCAAGATAAAAATATTGAAATGACAGATTTATCTTTCAAAACGCTAGGGGTACCGGTTAAAATAACAGTAATACAAGTAAAAGCTCTTGATGCACCTGTTGAGACGCTAGATAAAGCTGTTCAACATCCAGAGCCGTCAAATGAAACTCCTGATTCATTAGCCAGCTCACTTTATGCACCAAAAATAACACGAAGCGCAGAAATTGATGCACATAATAATCTTTCTGAAACGCTCCATGCAACAGACAATACAAGAAATACTGCGGTTCAGATGCCAAATGTATCGTTGAAAACGCCTGATGTTCCGATTGAAACGCCAAATATTTCGGTTGTAATTCTTGATGGGCTGATTGAAAAACTCCCGGAACAATTTGAAACAACTAAAGTTTCCAATGAAACATCGTACAAACAAATCGCAATGCCAAAGTCATCGCTTGAAATGCCAGAGACACCCACGGTATTGCAAGAAACGCAAGTTGAAACGTCGGAAGGAGCAAATGAAATGAACGAAGCTCCTGCTGAAATGCCCGATGCAATAGCTGGGATAACGGAGACCCCAGCAGCAACTGTAAAAACGCTAGATACATCGAATGAAACTCCGAATGATTTTTTCGAGACTACGAATGCGTCAGTTAATTTGCTAGAGCAACGACCCGTAACGACTGATGAATCTGTGGGAATGATTGATGAAATCATAGCGACATCGTTTGCCTCGGCTGGAGCAACTAATGCTTCGGGTGGAATTTTTGATGCATCGGCTAAGGCGCTGGAAGTACCGAGTACCACATCAGATGCACTAGTAAATTCTCCATACGCGTCGGTTGGAGCGCTAGAGGGATTGACTGAAACACCAGATGCAGCGGCTAGAAGGGGTCCTAGAGTTTCAAAAGTCCATAGTGTCGGGGCCCACGTATCTTCGTGTTTGACTTCAATGTTGATGCTTTTGTTCGTAACTACCGTCGTTGTTTGAATAAAATGAACATGTTTCATTTGACACGTGGAAGCAAAGCAACAATTAAACAACAGGGGCTTCACGTAAATATTATTATTATTGGTCGCTTCTGCCTTACTTAAATTAGTATGAATGATGAGAATTTCTGCCCCATTTGAATCAAGTGGCGGGCAATTTCGTTCAACCGAATTAATAAAATTAGTAGATCCTTCCGCCTCATCTGATTATGATAACAGTGGAAATTCTGTTCTGCCTAAGTGAGTATAAATACTTGTCACTTAGAATTTCCGTAAGAGAAAAATAAGGGAAAATTTTTCGTCATTATATATATATATACAACCTACATAACTAAGTTAGCATAACTACTCGCAGTCATACTAACATACGCATAACTACTCTTTCTTGTTGAAAATATATAATGTGTACTAAAATTTCAGCCATCAAATTTTGGGGCTGAAATCTTCAGCTCAAAGTTGCTATGTAATAAATAAACAAAAATCTATGGCGAGTTGTTTTGATTTGTAATTTATAGATTTATTTCCCTAATATAATAAGATAACAAAAATAAACGCCTCGTAGCGGAGACATTTTTATTTCCTTGTGGAGCCATGCGAGCAAAAAGTCAAAAATGAATTTAGCCTTAAATTATTGTTCGAAATTATGTTTGTATTAGTGCTAGGTAAAAAAAACATGTGCCGCGTTTTGGACAATAAAGCCGCGTCATTTTTTGAGTAGACCGCTCGTGGTGCGACGGATATAGGCAGAAAATCACAGCCCTGGACGAAGGGATATAACGCTCGCTTCCCGCCCAGCTAGAGATTCACTTTGAAAAATAATCCCGATCAGTTGTAAACAAATGAAATAAATAATTTTTACGATGATGGAAATAGAAGCAATTGATGACCTCTGGCAGCAGTTTCAACAATAATGCAGCGTAAAGCTTTCATACCGCAATTCACGGTTTAACAGCTAATAAGAGAGACTCGTTACGAAAACACAACTTCAAAATCTGAAATAAACGAAGATAAGATACAGTATATATTGAGACAAAAATAAGCTATGCATTCAAATGAAAATATTAATCACCGACAGAAACAATAGGAATATAGCATCTATTGAAAATTGTATAGATGTTGGTCTGCCATTAGCTGTTATTTGAACTATTCAATTTGAACTATTGTGTTATTTGAACTATTCAATACATTTTATGTTATGCACATAGGTGAATTGATGAAATGTTGCTATATATACTGATGTCGTATAACGCGCTAGTTTCATCATTAGCGACAGAAACAGGATAACAGAATATTTAAATATTATCTCCCTAATAATTGCTAAAATATATTCTTGAATTTGCCCATTTTGAGTAACCAACAAATCTTACAGCAAATAGTTCGTGAAATTTTGGTCGCAGCTACCGTATCAGACATGTAGTGTTTTTTGCTCTGAAACAAATGAAACAATAAATAAATTTCAATAAATTATTATGTTAAATGAATTAATAAATTTCCTCTTGAACAGCTGAAATACAGGAAGGCCGTTTTCTGAGAGAAATATATCGGACATGAAATTAAACGTTATAGTTTAATTGTGATCATTCTGAATAGAAGTTGTTCAGTGTAGCACCAATATGCCATTTTGCCGGAATAAACTGGGTCAACATGACCCATTATTAGTTGACAAAGTTTTACTTATTGCTCTGAGTATATGGTCCGAGTCAAAAAAAGAATGTTATCGCTCACGAAGTTTCCTCTCCAAATAGCGCAAGAAATATCATCTAAGAACAGTCACGTCCAAATTTAGTCCAAGAGAACCGAAGTATTACGTGCGAATTACATCATTGGACACGTCAGTGTAGGGGCTCCCTCAACAGGACCAGCTGAGTTCTGTAGGCATATATATCAATTGTTATATATAATTGATATGCCATAATTGATAGGTATATCTGTTTGGTTGATAACTATCTTATTATATTTATCAATCCACTCTCTGTGCATGAAAATCTACTAGCGCTTGACTCAATTTAGTAAAACAGAAAGTTAGCTTAGTTAGTTAGTTAGTTAGCGTCAAATACTTCACAAATACGAATATTATTATTTATCCTGCAATATTCGTTATTATTGTCTTCATTGTTCTGTCTCAGAACGCCATTGCAATGGACCCACTCTCTTAAGTTAAGGAATGAAACGTTTTCATCATATCTAAAGGCGGTGATAATACTATTAATAATGCAAAAAGCCTTAAGTCCTGTCTATTGTGGCATATCAGACTAATTCGTAAGAAGAACTATTCACTTTTTGACTAAATAAACTCTAACGACGGTTATACCGCCACTGGGCATAGAATCAATGTGCTTTTAGGACCGAGTTTTTCCATACGTCGACGCGTCGGTAATTCGCAGCTGATCTTTTAAATCTATCTATGATATACCTTAACAATGTTTAAGTATATTATTATATGGTCATTATAATATACTTAGACCAGTTTTAATAGAATTTAAACCAAGATTTGTGGTTTTTAACCTCTTCACATCTCGACTACACTACTAATTCTATCTTCCGGAAATACCGCCGGAGCGTTCTATAAATTTTTTGCTTTTTTCCACAAATTTCAGAGGTATTTCATTTCAAGTCTTTGGAATTATGTTTCAAACGCATCTTATGTGGGTTGATGTGTGATTAAAAATATACTAGATTATAATATAAACTGATAAATGAACACTAGGATCTTTAAGTTTAATTAGGTCCAACCTTCACTAATAACTTTCATTGCGGGCATTCAGGTGTAATGATATAAGGTATTGCAATTACTTCTAAAATTAAGTATATTTGATATATGCTTTATCAAATAGAATGCAAAGACCTTCACGCGTACAGTAGAGCGTGCGACGAGGTCGAATAGTATAAAGGGAAATCTCTGGACTGCTGCAGAGCGCGATTGCCGTTGAATTAGTCATGATGTATGTAGATTAACATGCATAAATATTATGCGCAATCAAGTTTCGATTAGACCAATTTTACTACTGCTATTTACTCTATATAAATGCTATGCATGTACGACTGATTTATTAACCGACTTCCTAGAGCGTTAGCAATACAAGTCTCTCTCAATGCGACCTTTTGTTCCTGAAATGTTGTTGCAGGATTAGAATCATGTGGCTTCAATTTCCTTAATCCAAAAAATTTATTGGATCTAACAATTTATATTTTATTAAAGCTGTCTGATATCTGAGGTGTGTGTACGAATGTAAGTGCTCTATATCTTCAACTCGGGACATATGCATCAGAGCTCAAATGTAACGAAGTCAGCCAGCACAAATTAGATTTCGCGTATGGGTTCAGTTCTATGCTATGAGTAACAGCATAGTATCCCGAAATTTATATGTTAGGTTGGTAAATTTTATTCTATAACTTTTTGCAGCACTCTAGCAGAGCTTCAAATTAAATGATGTTTGTAAATGTCGTGCGAGGGGCATGCCCATGAAGACCCATGTCGTCGCTATCCAATTTCTTCTCAATCATGTGGAAGTACATGACAATAAACTGCATTACTGCACTACTACTGCCGGAATAGTGATGTACCCGCTAAGAAAGTAACTGGGCGTCAGGAATTCCGTAGCTTCTTCGTATTTATATTGTTTTCTCGGAAGATTCTTCTTTCGTCGGGAACCTCCATTGTCGGTTACCAGTAATGTCTCTTCTAAGAAAAACATCCGCCACTGGCCTGGTGATTAGAATTCAATTGACTACGCATTTTGAATTACTTCGATACAGAATTCTACATTGGGACGTCACATCTCGTTGAATATTATTGTTATTATTAATATTATTATTATTATTTATTATTATCATTATTATTATATATACTATAATTAATAATGATAACAATCTTAGGCTCCGTCCGTTTAATTCGGCACTTACCCCATAGAGCTTGTATTTCCTGAGTTGGTAATGACTGGCGCTTACCCCACAGAGTTTGTATTTCCTGAGTGGGTAATGACTGGCGCTTACCCCTCTTACCCCACAGAGCTTGTATTTCCTGAGTGGGTAATGACTGGTGCTTACCCCACAGTAGACTCCTGCGTCTCGAAATAATTTTCTCGAAATGAACCGGGACAGACGAAACGAGACGAGAAAATTCCGGGAAAAAAATAACGGGACAGAGGGTAAAATTTGTCCCGGAATAAACGTATGAACCGAGACAAGACTTCTGTCCCGGACTTTAAAACTTGTGTCCCGGTATATTATGAACCGGGACGAGACAGACAGGTTTGAAACGAGACATAACGAGACGAGACGAGATTTGTCTTAATTATTTAAGATAAAACAAATTTTTAGATTACGATACGAATCATTTCGAAAACATGGGTTGAAGAATGACAAGTTAGCCCTTTATTGCTACTAATAGGGCCATAGACAGTTACCAGTTAAATTGAGTTAATTGCAGATTTAGCAAAATTCGTCTGACTACTGAACTGGCAGTTAATTAGTGGTCCGACAAACACCGCAAACCTGTCGATGTATGCATGGCTGAGTATTGAGTCAAAAATGTTACTCATGTTACTAAAAATGTTACTTAACTAAGGCTTCGATGGCACTTATGGGAACCGTACGAATATGAGTCGAGTTTATTACGCGTTCGGAACGAGTTCAGACGCCGTGGAGCGCATAGGGAGTAGGGACGCCGGACGCAGTATCTAGATTAGTCGGCCAATTAGTAGACAGTGGAGTGGAGTCCTGGTAAGATATTCCTAATAATACTAAAGCTAGTATTAGATTATCTCTGCATTTAGTAAATTTTTGTGCTACGCCTCCAGGATATCTTCACAATTGCGCAGTTTCCTGAATTGTTATCAAACACTTAGGCTCGTTTAACGTTATTTAGAAAGGATACGCATGGATATTTCGAGTTCTTTTTTGAAGATCAAACTATTACATTTTTTCCAACTTAAATTTTGTTTTATTTTAAAATGTTGTTGATATTTCTTTCCAAACTTTTTGTTGAAGGAGATTGCTTAAGGCAAGATCGATGAAACTGATTCCGTGATTGAGCTGGAGGCAAATCAAAGTCTGTCCAGTCAGCCGATGTCACCAGCTACAGCTAGTATGGCCTCCTCCAAACCATCATAGAACACAATTTTTGAAAAAAAAACGTTTTTTCCCGTTTTTATTTGCCTGTCAATATTAAGTACCATATTAAACCACATTACCACAACATGTATTCGTAGCAAAAATCATTTCAATTGCCGAGCTCCAATCAGAATAGTAAAAGGATACGTCTCAAGTTATTATATAAATTCAGAGGTGGGCAGTAGCTCGCTACATGTAGCGGCCG